CTCCTTCAGTGCCTTTCCCCCATATTCGTGTTCCCCAGCACATCTCCCACATCTTTGCTTGCCTCTGCAAACGGCCGCCGATGCCCGTACTTCTGACATTTAGAGCACGGACCGGAACTTCAGGCCTCACACCGCGGCGCATATATCGGAGATATATTCCGGGTCCTCGTCAAAAAGGATGATAATATCGCATTTACTCTCCATTTCTCATGCTGACATTTAGAGCACCTGACCGGGACTTCGGGCCTCACGCCGCGGCGCATATATCCGAGATATATTGCGGGTCCTCGTCAAAGAGGATGATAATATCGCATTTACTCTCCATTTCTCATGATTGTCACGTGTCAAAACTCAGTCGGCCGTGTTCCCTTCACAGTCACGTTCGCAGATTTGTGCGTCTTCCTGAGATGGTGTCAATGGCGACTCCCCCTTTGCACCTGTTTCCCTTCTACTCTGGTTAGGCTTGCAATTTGTGTTGCTTTGTTTCCTTCCTTGCAGCTAATCGATAATCCTCCAATTCGCAGCACTTGTGCGCTTCCCACCTTGCCCACCACCCTTTGTACACAGAAGCTTTGCTTAATTTTACAGGAGGTCTGTTAAATCGGGACGAAGAAAATGCATATTTCCAAGGGATGACATTTTCAACATCTCTAATGCGATTTCCAACATCCGTGAAGTGAAGCGTGATGCGCCAGCTGTTATTTCATTGTGGGGAAACGATTTCAAAATACGTCGCGTATTCAATCTTTTAATCTTGTAAATTGAAAAAAGGAAAACGGTGTAGTCAATGAAAATGACAGCTGTAACCCGCCGAATTGAAAAAGAATGAGCACACACACTACATTCACTCATACTTTACTAGGAATTGATTTTCAAAGATGGTGATAAACACAGAATGAGAACTATCGATGGACTATCAAATGGCGATATCATGACCATCTATCCATTTTCAGGACCGCTTCTCCTCGTAAGGTTGCAGGTGCACCGCAGCCTATCGCAGCTGATTTGGCCAGTAGGCGGGGTAAACCCCAAACTGATTGGCGGCCACTCACCGGGTACATCTCCACAAGCAACCATTCACACCTCGGGACAATTTTAGAGTATTCAATTAAAATGTGGGAGGAAGCCAGTGCACCCGTGCAGAAGAAGCTTGCAAGCATGGAAAGAATTTGTAAAGTCCACGCAGAGCCCAGATTCGAACCCTAAATCTTCGAACTATTAGGCAGGTGTGATGACCACTTGCACACTTTGGCGAACATTTGTATCTCTTCCAACGACAAAGACAACAACAAAAGAAAAAGACACAGGCCAAGCATTGACCAAAATGTTTGGCGATGAACAAGAGCAGGCAAGACCCCCCTTATTAATTCCATTACTGGGATGTGTTCTTAGCTATTAGTTGCATTGGCGCAGGAGGAAAAAGAAAATCAAGAACATGCTTCATCACCCCTTTCAAGGCACGTGTTATATACAAGAGAAAAAATTTCAATGGCATTTAATTGTCTGGCCTCTCACGATACATCAGTGACATCGAGAGATGATCACATTTCGGTTACTGGTAGTAAACAAATGGCTTTTGGACCAATGAAGTGAAATTAGATCATTTTGGTTCAGACCTAAAGCTCAATTTTTGCCTGGCATGTGTTGGGGTGTAAAAATGCGCAGGGGCAGGCTAGACTAACTTTTGGTATTTTGGCAGTCTGGGGAAGTCTTAAAAAAAAAGGTCCCAGCGCAAGAAGTGTACTGATTGTCCTTGACATGGCAGACAATTAATCTGATTTGTCCTGCGGCAGATCAAGGCGCACAAAGTACATTTACGGGGAACGACAAGCAGAAATCCACAGGTGGATGATATTAAGTTGACTCGGGCGATCACAGATCTGTGAAGAGGGCACTTGACCACTGCCTTTGCCCAGATCGGACATGTGCGGGTGTGACTAACAACTCCCGCCCTGCCCTCCTAAGTGTGCCTTGGCCAGTGGGCTGATGTTAAAAATATATCATAAAGAAGATAATAATATCAACAAGAATAATAATAATAATAATCCATTATCCGAGCCGCTTATCCTCACAAGGGTCACGGGTGTGCTGAATCTTACCACAGCCATCTTTGGGTAGTAAGTGGGGTACACCCTGAAATGGTTGCCAGCCAATCGCAGGGCACAAATAGACAAACAATAACCATTCAGGCTCACAATCACACTTCTGGACAATTTAGAGCGTTCAATAAACCTACCGCGCATATTTTTGGAATATGGGAGAAAAATTGAGCACCCGGAAAAAAATCCCACACTGGCACGGGGAGAACATGTAAACTGCACACAGGAAGGCCGCAGCCCAGATTCGAACCCAAGGCCTCTGCATCGTGAGACGAAAGTAACACCATGGCGCCCTAATCGTAACAACAACAAGAAGAAGAATGTTGTTTGCAATGATTCAGTGTGCTCGATGTTCATGCTGCTGTCATAGTTATGAATGAAATATGATGACATCCGGCACACACGTCAACGGAGCTCAGAATGTCCGCCTGTGTTCCAATCAAATTCACCCAAATCACATTAGGTTAACTGCACCGAGAGTTAGACGTGGTTCCAGAAGGCATAATGTTTCGTCTACAAATTGTCAGATGAGGCGAGCACATGTTCAAGGAAACGCCCTCGATAAGGCAGAACGCCCAATGTGGCGCAGAGAGATCAACCAAATTCCCAAACAAGCACATTGAGGTTCGCAGCGGCACGACAATCAAGATCCGCTGGTTTTCAGGCTACAACACTCTCCAACACCCCCGCCCTCCCGCAACGCTTTGTGTTAAAAAAAACATACATCTTCCAATGTATTTCAATGTGTGTCAATTATGCGACGATTGCAACTGTCTAAAGGCCGATGGTCCCTTTCCCTTGCAAATAGTGGCGCCCACTGTGCAACTCAATTTTTCATTCAAGAAAATAATTATATTTATGGTAATATATGTATTGCAATCATGTATTATACTAAAACATGAATTATAAACATGATATTAGAATATTTCTTTCCATGCCTTAGTTAAATTAATTTCAGGATGGTGTCTTTGAAAGTACGTTAATTAACATGTTTGATGTGACTTGGGGAAAATTTTTTGAAGCATGTAGGGCAAATAGTCCTGTCGACTCTGCGATTTTCATCTCTGTTCTCAACTAGGGAGCTGAAATGCTCCCATCCTGCTCACATAAATGAGCTTGGAGGGTTTGCAATTTCAGGGTTATTAGTTGAACTGGCCCTGTTTCTTCCGCTTCACTGTGCCCGAAAAGAACGAGATCCGAGCTACAAGCGGCCGAAATTAGTTCCCTCCGCAGGGTGTCCGGGCTCTCCCTTACAGATAAGGTGAGAGGCTCGTAACATCCGGGAGGGGCTCAAAGTCGAGCCGCTTCTCCAATCATCGGGTAGGGGCTCAAAGTCGAGCCGCTTCTCCCTCATGTCGAGAGGAGCCAGATGAGGTGGCTCGGGCATCTGATTAGGATGCCCCCTGGACGCCTCCCTGGTGTAGTGTTCCGGGTATGTCCCACTGGCATGAGGCCCTGGGGACGACCCAGGATACGTTGGTGAGACGAAGTGTCTTGGCTGGCCTGGGAACACTTTGTAATCCTTCTGGAAGATTTTGAATAAGTGGCTGGGGAGAAGGAAGTCTGAGCTTCCCTGCTAAAGCTGTTGCCCCCGGGACCCGACCCCAGATAAGCGGCAGAAAATGGATGGGTGGATGGAAGGACACACAGGAGGCCTGCTAATAATAATAGTAATTATATTTTGTTGTGTTGCACTGTGAGCTCATATGAGGGGATGTGATTGGAGGTACAAACTTTGAAGTCGGAAAGGCGTGTCGTCAGTGAAATGAGGGTGGAGTCATTTAGTGGAGATTTTCACGATTCGTGGCAGGGCTCAGTTGCTATTCCCCTCGCATTGCGGGAGAATCATCTAGCACCTTATAATGATGGCTACAAAAGCTAATAATTCTTTCTGTCACTGAGTGAGAAAGCATTTAATTGCCATATACGCTATATGTTGCTGGCATAGATAGACAAACACTTTTTTCTTTTTTTTTTTTGCCAAACAAATAATTTTTTAGAGCACTTCAGTACTGTAATTTAGGATCATGAAATCTAAAAATATTGCTTTGGCGCCATTTTGTGGCATCTTGGGACCAAAAACTGACATTGAAATGAGGGTGGAGTCATTTACTTGCAGATTTTCACGATTCGTGGCAGGGCTCAGTTCCTATTCCCCTCGCATAGCGGGAGAATCATCTAGCACCTTATAATGATGGCTACAAAAGCTAATTATTCTTTCTGCCACCGAGTGAGAAAGCATTTAATTGCCATATGCGCTATATGTCGCTGGCATAGATAGACAAACACTTTTTTTTTTTTTTTTGCCAAACAAATAATTTTTTAGAGCACTTCAGTACTGTCATTTAGGATCATGAAATCAGCACATCTGAATATTTTTCACGACACACCAGTTGAGAAGCCTTAATTCTTACACCGCTCCCATTTAGGCAAAGAGTAGACAAAGACCACAACCACAACTCCGCGGAGCATCCGCGGAGTTATACAACATGAATATCAGCACCATACTGTATCTCAGCGTCAAGATTTGGGATGTTCATATGTAAACAATGAAAATTATACATATCACATTCCTTCAACTGGATACTTTGTCGATATTTTTCACAATGATTACAACGCACGTTACTCCGGGTCCTTCAGTCAGATTGCACTGGAATGTCTGTCAATCTATCTATCTATCGTTTACCTCGGTGAGTTACATGAATGGTATTATCTCGCAAAAGGCAGACTATTTGACTCATCTTTCGAATCATATTCGATTGTATTTCCTAAGTGCTCCTAATGCGCCAATGAGGAAATGTCACGCGCAACAACAACAACAACAACAATAATTGGACCATTTGTCATGATTGTGCCACGTCGAAGAGTTAAAGGGCAGAAAACGGAATGTTTCGGACTCACCATTGAAGTTCCAGACGGGCAGAAGCCCTCCAACTCCATCACTATTGTTACTCATGTCGCATGTCCAGCGGTTAGTTCCACTGTTCTTCCTCCTTCTTCTCACAAAGCTTGTTTTTTTGTTTTTGTCCCCCACCGCCCGTTCTTTCTCCGAGCCAAATGAATGAGCCAGCCCGTTTGTTTCGACACCACCTTAATTGCGTGCCTCGGTCTTCGTCTTCGCAGACAGTTGACCCGATCGAGCGCGCGCACCTGTCATGATTCTTCTTCGTGTGCGTGACATCTACGATAGCAGTTACAGCGTGTTGCGCATAAAAGTTCAGTTAAAAACTGTAAACAGATTTTGTTTGAAAAACAGGCAGCTGTTTCAAATGAGTTGGTCCAAAGTTATGGCACTCATTCATTCATTCATTCATTTTTCGATCCGCTTTATCCTCACAAGGGTCGCGGGGGGTGCTGGAGCCTATCCCAGCTATCTTCGGGCAATAGGCGGGGCACACCCTTAACCGGTTGCCAACCAATCGCAGGCCACACAGAGAGGAACAACCATCCGAGCTCACACTCACACCTCGGGACGATTTCGAGTGTTCAATCAGCCTGCCATGTATGTTTTTGGAATGTGGGAGGAAACCGGAGTACCCGGAGAAACCCCACGCAGGCCCAGCGAGAACATGCAAACTAAACACAGGAAGGCCGGAGCCAGCATCGAACCCATGACCTCTGCACTGTGAGGTCGACGCGCGAACCACTGGATCACCGGGCCGCCAATGTATGTCCTGTCCGTCAAAAAAGATGGAACACCAGCCGTATTTCATTCATTTCAACAAGCTGATTCAAAAATCAATGTGGTGGAAACCCAGATCGTTAACGTGATCGCTGAGGGACGGGCGAATTGATGATCTTTTCTGGTGCTAGGATTAATGGCACAGATGTGCTGTTTTGAACCTGAAATGTATACTGTATTAGCTAGTGGACTTGCCATTAAATTGAGCATTTTCCTCTCTTACAGAGTCAGCAAAGGGGCCCCATTGTGCGGACATCTCTGAAAGATTATCGAGGGCGATTATCTGACAGTGCCTTTACATGCTGCCAAACCGCTCTCGCCAGCGAGCAAAAATGAGTCAAAAACTAATGTCTGAAGAGCTTCTTCAGAAATGGGAAAAGACCAAATGAGGAGATGGAAGAAGAGATTGTCATGTCATGAGTCTGTTCGGCATAACATGTGGTGACAGGCTTACTAATCGGCCAATGAATTCTTCAACCTCCCCCACCAAAAAAAGCACTGAAGACCTTGCAGGAATTTCCAACATCTGATCTTTGTGAAGTAGGATTTTGTGCAATGATAAAGACCAAAACAAATGTCCAGAGTGAACTTGACATAACATACTAAGATGGTACAGGCTCGTTAATGAGAACCAAGAAACAGGGCTCCGGCTGATTGACAGCTCAATTTAAACTCATGACGTATTGTAAATTGTATTTTTAACTGGTTTGCGTTTCTTCTCAAGCTGGTCCTTCAAAATATGGTGCAAAAAAGGTTGGGGTACACTGCGTTAAATCTATTTTTAGTACCACAATTGCCTTGTCAAGATCTTTTGAATCCTCCTTGGGCTGCTCATGGGAGCTACCAAAGAGGCAGAAATTAGTTTGATCGGAATAATACAGGGCAATTACAGTGAAATAAAATATCAGCGATGAAATAGATGACAACCAGGTTTTCTAAGCTATAGGAAGGGTTACCAATTAGTGTGTAAGTGTTCAGTGCAATCAATTGGCGCTGGCTGTGCCTGAGTGGACCATGATGGCTGCTCTACGTCTACAGTCCTCATGGTAACTGCTGTACAAAATATGTACATATAGGTCTACACTGTCAGCAAACTACACATTTTAATAAGAGATGCTACTTGTGAGAAAAAAGACATTAAAATCGTACCTTATCACTGTGTGACAAAGATTCATCACTGGGGTTGCTAACGCTAATCCAGACGCAGAAATGACCACTTCAGTGTGAGATGGACCTGGTTATAGAAACAATTAAAAAAAAACATCACATTGTTAATTGTCTTGTTCATTTTTGGCAAAATGACAAACTTGCCAGCAACTATAGCAGTATCTTCTCCACCAGCTGAGCCGGAATTACCTTCAGTTCTGCTGTAGGAACCCAATTAAAAAAAATGCTAACAAGCACCAAATGAGAATGTACTATCAAATTACCAATTACACTGCAAAATGTCTCTCTCTCTCTAACAATTAAAAAAAAACATCACATTGTTAATTGTCTTGTTCATTTTTGGCAAAATGACAAACTTGCCAGCAACTATAGCAGTATCTTCTCCACCAGCTGAGCCGGAATTACCTTCAGTTCTGCTGTAGGAACCCAATTAAAAAAAATGCTAACAAGCACCAAATGAGAATGTACTATCAAATTACCAATTACACTGCAAAATGTCTCTCTCTCTCTCTCTCACACACACACACACACACACACACACACACACACACACACACACACACACACACACAC